TTATATTACAACACATTAGGCAACTGAGAAGATATGGACAAATTCCTAGAAACATGCAAGCTACCAAGACTGAATCACAAAGAAATAGAAAACTTGAATAGAACCATAACTAGTATGGAAATAGAATCAGTAATGAAAAATCTTCCAAAAAATAAAAACCCAATACCAGATAGCTTCACCGGTGAATTCTACCAAAAATGTCAAGAATGATTAATGTCAATCCTTCTCAAAGCCTTCCAAAATATTAAAGAGGAGGGAACACTTCCAAACTGGTGAGTTTTACAAAACATGTGAAACATTTAATAAATGCTTTATGATTTAAATTAAAAACTTTTAAAGAAAATATAACACCAGTCCTTCTCAAACTATCCCCAAACCTGAAGAGAATGCAATACTTACTTATTCTATGAAGTCAGCATTACTAAAACCAGGTAAAAACACTACAAGAAAACTATAGACCGATATCCCTTATGAAATCCGGCACCAAATGTGTCAATTTAAGGAAGCCATTGCCTCTCCAAAGAGGAAACAAATAGAAAGACGCTAGAACTCAGGCAAAAGAGGACACAGCCAGAGAAGGAGCAGAAACACAGACAGTACCACTCAGAAGACAAAAAATAAAATTAGAAAGCATCAAATGATGAAAAAGGTTTTCCATGAGAAAAAGAGGAAATTAAGGTTATATAAAAGTGCTGTTTTTAAATAAGAATTCTAGACTGACTTAAAACTTTAACCTATATGAACATGTACATTTATTTAAAATTAAACACTAAACAACTAACCAGTTCAAAACAAGTAACATAACACAATGTTAGGTATTAAGTGCTATGGGAAAAAAAAATAAGTAAAAAGGAGATGGCTGGCAATCAATTTATTACGGAGAAGGTAATATTTTAAGAATATAAGTGAGGAAGCAAGACCAAGCTCCTAATGATCTGTGTGAAGAGTCTCTGGCAGAAGGAATCGAAAGTAGAAAGACTCAGAAGCAGAAGCTTGCTTGATGTGTCCAAGGAAAGCGAAGGAGGCCAGTGTGATTGGAGCTAAGTGGGCAAAGAAAGAGTGATAGAAAGTGAAATTAGAAGTGATGGTGTCCACAAATCAGCCTTAAGTAAGTACAAAAAGATTGAGATCATACTGTGCATATTTTCAGACCACAATGCTATGAAACTCGAAATCAACCACAAGAAAATATTTGGAAAGGTAACAAATATATGGAGACTGAAGAACATCCTACTAAGAATGAATGGGCTAACCAAGCAGTTAAAGAAGAAATTAAAAAGTGTATGGAAGTCAATGAAAATGATAGCACCACAACACAAAACCTCTGGGATGCAGCAAAGGCGGTCATAAGAGGAAAGTGTATAGCAATCCAGGCCTTCCTAAAGAAGGAAGAAAGATCTCAGACACATAACCTAAACTTACGCCTTAAAGAGCTGGAAAAAGAACAGCAAATAAAACCCCAAACCAGCAGAAGACAGGAAATAATAAAGATTAGAGCAGAAATTAATGCTATTGAAACCAAAAAACAGTAGAACAGATCAATGAAAACAGAAGCTGGTTCTTTGAAAGAATTAACAATTGTTGATAACCCACTAACCAGTTTGATCAAGAAGAAAAAGGAAAGGACCCAAATAAGTAAAATCAAGAATGAAAGAGGAGAAATCACAACCAACACAACAGAAATAAAAACAATAATAAGAGAATATTATGATCATATATGCCAACAAAATGGGCAATCTGGAAGAAATGAACAAATTCCTAGAAACATATACTCTATCAAAACTGAAACAGGAAGAAATACAAAATTTGAGCAGACCCAAAACAAGTAAGGAAATCGAATTAGTAATCAAAAAGCTGCCAAAAAACAAGAGTCCAGAGCCAGATGGCTTTCCAGAGGAATTCTACCAAACATTTAAGGAAGAGTTAACACCTATTCTCTTGAAGCTGTTCCAAAAAATAGAAATGGATGGAAAACTTCCAAACTCTTTCTATGAATCCAGCATTACCCTGATTCCAAAACCAGAGAGAGACCCCACTAAAAAGGAG